GCTCTGGGATTGACACAACTGTGCGAACAGGACTTACAGTCCATTCATAACTGGAAATTAAATATGAATGAAACGGACGACAACCGGATCAGTGATACGGGAATTGTTGAAACGCGAGCTATCGGTTTGTCAGCCGTGAGACTCGTATAATATGTTTATTTACTCTCCTTTTGATATAATTATAGCGAAAGACTTTAAACTAAGATATCCAACACTTTTGGACCCAACGAAGACAATGATCGATATCGGAGTCACTACTAAAGTGAGAACATTGCAAACGGCCGACGCTTTTCTACAAGAAATCACTTCCGATTCGAAACCCATTGTACAGACATCAGAAGAGGACTACAGCGAGAGTGCGAGCGGTGAAACTGCTGGTAATCCCATTGAAATATTTGATTAAATGATTAAACAATTTGTTAATAATTATTATGAATATCTATTTACAGAAATATTGAGTGAAATAACAAAATCGGAAAAGGATTTGTTGTATTTTCACGACACGTGCGAAGACCTACTGCTAGAACAGGGCGTAAGACTTGAAAAGCCGAAACGTGTGAAAGATTTGCGTAAAAGTACTTCAATGCAAGCGATTATCAAACGAGTTAACGAAAGGCTTGGCTTCGGGGCGGGCAATGAGATCGACGCTAAAGTGCTCCGGCATATAGTGAGGGCCTGTTATTTTGAATTCGCTATTTTTGGCCAAAACAGCGGCTGGTGTTCACTACTCGGTAACGACGAGATCAAGATTCTTGAATATTTAGACGATATCGAAGACTATTACGAAGACGCTTACGGTTTGTCTCAATGTTTACCGCTTTTACTACAAATTGTTACCAATTATTATATTATTTGTTATCTAATATATGAAATTGTTTTGCCGTAAAAACAGGTCGTAATATAAATAGCAAACAAACGTGTCCTTTGATTGGAGATCTGTTCGCAAAAGTGAAACAATCAGTGAAGTCATCGAAAGATACGAAAACGTATCTCCAGTTCACACACGCGGGTGTTATGAAACGCCTGTACTCTGGTTTGGGTCTCTTTGATGTATTGCACGATAACATCGACTTTAAATCTGATGAAAGCGTTTGTTTGAATGACGGCCGCAATTGGAAGTCATCATTGATTTGTCCATTTAATGCCAATTTTGCGGCCGTTCTCTACAAATGCAAAGACAATAAGAAAAATGACGATAAAACACATGGAAAATACAAATTATTGACTTTAGTTCAGGAGAAACCGGTGGTCATAAAGGGTTGCGATTCATACCTGTGTTCTGTTGATAAATTCATTGAATCGTATCAACAAATGTCATCCAATTGTGATCTTAAAGAGATTTGCAAAATATAAATATTATTTTTCGTCAATAATGGCTTTTATTTGGCATCTGTTTTATAATTTATGAAATTATTTTAAATTTTTAACGACAATTGTATTGCTTTTGAAAAACATTTTATGTAAAAAACATTTATGTGTATAAATATACAGTACATTAATATATGAAATCAAAGTTTTAATAAATTTTAAATGATTTGTTGATAACAATTTAATATAAATTTTATGTTAAGTATTATACAATATTTATGCAAATAATAAAGGGGTTTTATTTGTGAAAATAATAAAATACTATAAAAGTTCATTTCTTAAAACTTACTTAAAGTTATTTTAGTGTAATTAATGCTATTTTAAATATTTAATTTGTTATAATTATCTGTTCGTTCATCAAAGGAATGTCTCCTAATATGTACAGTACATGTATTAGTCATTTAATGTTTTTAAAATCATTAATTAATTTCTCGCATAAATAAAAGAATTTAATTAACAATAAAAGTATGCAATTTTAAAAACTTTATACATTAGATAATAACAGCGAAAATATTTGATTTAATAATGGATTCAATGCTGATATCCATTAATATTAAATCATTAGAAAGACATAAAAACAAAGAATAGGTTAATTAGTGAACCATTAATTACTATAAATTATGATTTATTACAAATTTAATGAAACGCTTTTGAATTTATTATTTATGATTAGAGA